GATTTTACTTCAAATTAATATGATTGTGTTATGTTTCAGTCTTGGGGCGTGATAGTTATAAAGTTATATAGTCTATATTATAACTAAAATTTTAATGAAATTACATATTGCTATTTTATTTATCTTTTCACCTCTATTTGTGAAATCTATTGGCTCATCAAGTAAAATGACACATACTTCATAAATAACAATAAATATTGAAGAATAAATTGTTGCATCTTCACTTCAATAACAACTTATGAAAGAATCTCCCATGAAAAAAGTTCGGATGTGATATTGATTTTAAAACGGTGAAATTTTTAATTTCTTGAAATAAAAAATATTATTGTCTTTTATTTATAGATTATTTGGATTCGATAAATTACAGTTTGAGTTTTCTTCAGATTTGATGATAATTGCATAAGTATATTCAATATATAATTAATTTATTTTATTATATTAAAATATATAAATTTAAATAAAAAATAATTATATAAGTTATAAGTTGTTCATAAACTTTATAATTTATATTATCATTTAAAAAAACTTATATTTATACAAGATTTATTTATATATGAACAAATTTTCATGCATTGTACGAATTTAAAACTATAATAATAATAATAATAAGATAATGCTTGATCAAAGCCCCAAAACAAAAAAAAAAAAATCAAGATTTCGTTGTTTATTTTAAATTAAGATGATATACATTTTGAGACCATAAAAAAATTTAAGATGTCATGTTTCAAGAAAAAAGTTTTTTAAGATGTCATTTTGTTTTTTTTTTCACTCATTCAACTTTTATTCCATAAAATAAAGTTAGCAAACTTTTTATTTTGATGAAAAAAACAAAAACAAAAACCATGACTGTTACTAAATATTCTACACATACTAATAAATTCACTGTTTTTATATTGTTTTTTTTTTGTTTTTCCACATTAATTTTTTCAAATTTTATATTTTTCATCTTAATATTTCTAACAAACTTTTGAATCATACTAGTATTCATTGTCACTTATGTTGTATTTGAATTTTTTTTTTTATTTTTAGAATAATAATTGTGTCTAAAATATAAATATTTTAGAGTCTAAAATTTTGGCCAAAAAAATGTAAAGTTTGAAGTACAAATAATTGAAAATTTTGTATTATTAATAAATAATTATCCAATAACATTAGAGTTAAAAAATATTTTTAAAGAAACACATTAAATGTAATTAAAATTATCATTTACAAATTGGATAAATTTTTTTAATATTTATAATAAAACTATTTTAATTGTAGTCACTTGAAACAATTAGAATTCTTATTTACAAATTAGGTAAATTTTATTAAAATTTATGATTAAAATATTTAAAATATAATTTAAAAATATCATGAGTAAAGTATAAGTTTTTGTTAATTCAAAATTTTTTCAATATACTTACTTTTATATATTACAAAATAATAATACAATATTATAGATAAATTTATAGGCATAGATTATAAATATGGATTATAGATAGATTAAAATTATAAATATTAATTGATTTTTTATTGAAAGTATTAAATGTTTTATAGCAAAATAAAAGTTTGATGGTTTTATTTTACAAAAAAATTTAATAATAATTTTTGTATATGTAACGATTATAGATATAGATAATGCATGTTCTTTTAAAAGAAAGAAATGAATGTTTAATAACAAAATAAATGTTTTGATAGTTTTATTTTACATAAAAAAATTAATAATAATTCTTGTAAAAGTTCGACAATCAAATATGCATTATTACAATTAAATTATATAGCAAGAATTAACTTTTCTTTAAAAAAATATTTTTATCAAATTATTTACATATAAAGGTGTTTATTAGTCGAGCCGAACTCATATTTAATATTAATAACTTATATGCTTACCCAAACCTAATCCAATTTGAAATTTTGGGTTATAAAATTTTTTTAAGCTTGACCTAAATTAAAAAAATAAATTTCAAAGCCACACATTGATTATTGTTTTTTTGTATAGCCTATAAGTATACAGATCAAATAATAAAACAAAAGTAATCCAATATTGTTTTCTAAAGAATTATATAGTATAATTGTTGGGTGGTTCTCGAGTACTAAAGTTGAAGTCATAAACTCTTATATCTAAACAAATGGAATTAGGGTTGGGTTGCAAAATAAGAAAATAAATATTGAAAAGTAACGTAGGATTAGATCTTAACTTTACTAACTATCACTTGAGAAATAAAAGAGTGTAACCAAACTAGATCTAAGGACTTGAAAATAAAGATATCTTGTGATAATTGAACATGTAAATAGAAAAGAAAGTGACGAAAACTAAGATTGTTTAGAATCAAAACTTGAGTAGAAAAAGAAAGAGTAATTGTCGAAATTTGTAGAGAGAAAAAATGAAAGATTGTCGTAACTTGTAGGTAATAAAATAAATTGTAAATCAAAACTTTGTAAAAAAAGAATGCTTGAAAAGAAAAAGATCTTAAAAAATAACACTTTTTGGATTAAAGAAAAGTATTAAAAAAACAACTTGGTTATTTATAGAGTTGTTACCTAAACCAATAACTTAAAGAAAGTAAAAGAAACTAAAAACTTAAGAAAAGAAAAAAGAAAAGAAAAGTGAGAAGTGATGGATGATGAAATAAGGTAAATAGCCTTTCTATTTATAGAAAGGGATTCGGCCATAAGGGGTAAAGATTACAAGAATTTGAATTTAAATCAAATGCTAAAGGATAATGGCTATCCTAATTTTCACAGACTAAACTTGGATTCTTTATGGTGAAGTTGTCTTGGCTAGGTGATTCATCTTGATGCAATCTTAATTCAAACTCCTTTTTTGATTTGGCTAAGATGAATTTCAAAATAAGATAATTGCTTTTTATCAAATCTTTTGAAATTTTAAGAGATAATGTACTCCTCCATTTGAAATTCTTCAAAGTTAAGAAAAAGAGTTCTCTTTGGATGAAACCATTTTTGGTCAAATGTATTAGAGTCCACATCAGCTTGAAAGTGTGAAGTCTTCTTGGAATGGATTGACCGAATAGATAAAATCTAAATGCTTGCAAAACTCAATCAAATGTGCATTATCCCTTCTTGCAATTGAAATGGCTAAACATGATAAGGCTTGGAAAGTTTTTGATCTTATAAACTTCTTCAAATGAGTTCTATTTTTTCTTGCATTTGCATTGGTCGGATACCATTAGTGAAGTGGAAGTGTTATTATGCTTGTAAAACTCATTCTTAGCTACATGGATGGGTGGCAATTAGACTAATTAGGTTTGGCTACATCATCCTTTTCATGGTTGAATGTGATCTTGCATGCATGGATTGCATGTCTAAAGGCTTTAAACCTCAAACTCATAAAAATAACATTAAAAGTACAAATTTCGACCAAAATTTTAAATTTTAACATCAATTTTAACTAGTGAAATTGCTATATTTTTAGGTGCTATCACCCACTAAATTTAATTTATATAATAAAATATAAAAAATGATTAAATTAAATTTAATGAGATTATATTTAATTTACATATATAAAAATTAAATATATATATAAATTAAAAACAAAAATTATATAAAAATAAAATTTTAATTTAATAGAATATATAAACTTTATTTTTAATTTTTTTATATTCATGAATTAATTTATATATAATTCACATATATAAAAATAAAAAATTTATATATATATGAATTCGAATCAGTCCGGACTGATTCAAATTTTAAATTTTTTTTCTAAATCTCGACCCGAAATTTAAATGAATCTAAAAATTATGTATAAATATGTTTAACGAGTTTTAATTTTTTTATTCAAACTCTCTTAAAACTTGGATTCACCTTCGAATTTAGACAAATAATCTAACCTTTAAATAGAATTATTTACATACATGCTAAAACTTAAATTCATGTTTCTTACATTATGAAAGGACATTAATCCAAGGATAATGGACTCACGACTTAAAAGCAACTAGCCAAGTACGTAGGCCTTGAAAGCATTGTCGGTAGGCACCAATTATAAAACTTAATTATTCCAATAATCATGTATTTTAATATTTATATATCCATTAGATGTTCTAACTATTATATTTATGTTTTGAAATGTATAAGAAATACGACTAGTATTCTCTAAAAAAAATTAAGAATTCATTAACGAGGCACAAGCTAATAATTTTGGTTAATATATTGAGCAACACTTAATTATTCAAACTTGATATTTTAATTTTAAAAAATTTTAATATAATATTTAAATTATAAATTTATTAATTACTATGATATTTATTCTCAATATAAATAATTTCAAATAATAACAGGTGATGAACAAATAATCTAATAAGTATCATATTAATTAATAAATTAATAATTCAGATATCATATTAAAAATTTTTTAAATTAAAATAGTTCATAATATTAACCATAATAATTGAGATTTTTTCCAATGAGATCTTATTTTAATAGAAAATAAGAGGTTCTAAAATTTTGAGGTTTTAAATTCAAATCTTATTACTTGTGAATTTATCAATTTTATGTTGATTAATTTATTCAGCTCATTAATTTTGATTTATTTGTTTGATTTAATTTATAATTTTTTTTATATAGAATGTGATATTTAATTTTGATTATAATTTTTTTTACATAATTTTTTCTCTATTAAGTTATTTGATCAGTATCATTCACTGTTTGAAATGAAATTGATAGTATTTTTTTTTAAGATAAAATTTGTGTCATTTTAATTTCATATTAATTTTATTTTAAATTTTGCAGATTTTATCATTATTTTGAGTTTTAAATTATTTCAAGTTTCAAATTAGTCAATTGTTTCTATGTTCACTTCTTAAGATACAATTTATAATAAATCGAGTCAGGTATGAATAAATTACTTGGGTTGAATGATCAATATTTTATCACCCCCGACTAAAAAGAAATTATAGAGATATATATATTTCTTTTTTTTAATATAAAAAAGTCACAATTTGAAAATAAAGGAAGAGATTACAATTGCTAAAATTCAAATACTAGACTTACTATACACCACATTTTAAGAGTAATAGCATAAGCCACCTGACTAAGCTCCCCTTTTTTTTTCTGTTTTTTAAACCAATTACAAAAGGGATGTATGAATCAAGCTGATGACACCAAATAACAGAAGAATGATTTTCTTCTGTTCCAATGTCCGTTTACTACAGGAATCTACATAAACTAAAAGAGTTCTAAGCAAGATTTATCGTAGAATTCGGGACCACACAAGAAATCTCAGGAACCAAACAAGTTCATTCGCGAATAAATCTTTAGAAATATCTGGTTCCATCATTAAACAACAATTTAAAAGGCAATCTAAATGTCAGATGCCGAACCTCCAACATTCTTGCAACTATATTAACAAATGCAGTTTAATAAATGGCCACCTCTGATTGCTCCATAATCTCATTGTTTCCAAACTCGAACAGTGCCATCCACTGAGGAGGTTATCATACAGTTGTCTTTTGGATGGTAACTCACACTTGTTACCTGCCATAGATAGATCAAAGGCATTAAATTCGTCCTTTCGTTGGGCAGTAAGGATAAACCAGTCAAAGTATTGTAATGCAAGACTTGCTGCATCTTTTTCAACCCTGAAAAATAATAATGTTGGTCCCGTAAGACTAGCCATCCTAAAATTTAGTTCTTTACAAAACAGTATCTATATCTAACGTGAAACAAATGCTAAGTGATGTTAAAATTGTTTTATATCGCGCAAAGATGCATATCTTACATAATTAATCTAAAGTTCCGAACAAATATCTAGAATGTTGAAAAACAAGGCCAAGCAACTAATGCAAATTCCAGCTCTAACTATAGCATTGTCACAAGTCTTCTTGGTAAAATCATTATACTTCCTACCATGTTTCATTCAAACTTCATCATTTGAAAAGCCTATTTATGTTCAAGCATCATTCAGTACTTCCAACTGATAATTGCACAAATGTTAAAGGCTGAGGCAAATAGCCAAAAAATGACAACAAAAGGATGTAGTTTAATAAATAGGCAGAAAGGAGCTCGTCAGCTTTGTGGCAAAATGCACATTTTGCTGCTAACATATCCATCACACATCAAGCACAATAATGCCACATATCATCAATAGAGAAAAAGGTTAAAATAGATAGACGAAAATTCAGGAAATTCTTATTGAAAATATCATAAAGTCATAACTAATAGTGACTTTATGCAAGCAAAATTATCCTTTTCTCATCTTGCCCAAGAAACTAGGAATGCTCCTGCAAGCATATATATTTATCTCAAAAATTCAAGTTGCTGCATTGAAATGATCTTCTGTCCTAATCTTAATGCATCAATGGACAAATTTTTCCCAGTAGCCTGATCCATATGATATGTTTGCACAGTTTTGGAAATCACCTTCTAGACATAACCAATGAACAGAATGTAGCATCCTTGAAATGGGGTGTTAATTGGTAGACTGTTACAAGTCATATTTTGGATGAGGGTTGCGCTTGGATTTATGTAACTGAACATATGCACAAGCATCAAATAATTCATAATACAAGAACTTCCCACAAATAATATATTTAACACATCAGAAAATGTTGTCATCGGAAATTATATGCTGATTCAAACCAAATAAAAAAAGTTCAATGTTGTGATGCCACAGTACAAAACAAAGCAAGCATAAGCACTTACATGATATGATTCAATTGCTGAACATTCAACAAAGCATATCCAAATCAATTGAAAGATAAAAAGTACAGAAAGGATTAAATGGAAAAAGAAAGAACTGTAAAAGCCAAAACACTGTTAAAGAACATTTAGAAAGCACAAATAGTCAAATAGGTTATCCTGAAAATTCAGCACTAATTAGAAGAACCAGTAGTAGAATTTATAAGAAAATGAAAATAGTACCACTGATGAATGAGCTCGGAATTTTGAAACCACAGATGCATCTACCAGATCCCAGAAGAAAATCGAGCCATCCTCAGATCCACCAATTACATGGGCGTCATTGTTGGTTAGGCAGCAATCCATTTTATAGGACTATTGCAGAATAACAAAAGCAAATTATAGCAATCCATGAATGGAAAAAGGTGGAAACCTAAAAAGCTTGGAAGTTTTGTTTGGATTGACTAAAGACAATAAATTAGTAGATATTTTTCACAATTGAAGTATGTCCTTTATATTCAAAATGCTTTTATATTGACAATCAACATTTAAAGGAAGACTGTATAGACTAGGTAAATTTAAGGCATGATGAAAATTTTGCAAGAGTAGGAATGAGGCATCTGCATTCTAACCTTGCAAGTATGTCCTTTATATTCTTGCAATAGTTCACCTGTGGACCTGCCATAGGAAAGAATCCGATTTAGGGGCATGCAAAGCAGGGTAAATTTTTTGCAGCAAGAATCCGATTAAGTTGAAGGCTTTACCGGTCCAAAAGGCGTAAAGTAGAATCCAAGCAACTGGCTAATATGCAATTACCATCATTTGACATTGAGATACAGTTGACAGGTTGCCCCAAGTCATCTGATATTTCTCTACAGATAAAACAAGGAAAACATTGTAAGGGAAGCATATGGTGTGATGACTAATATAGCTTATGTTAGAACGAAAAGGAAAACCATAGAATGACTTATTGTTCCATACCTACCAATACGTATATCAAATGTTCGAACAGTTCCATCAACACTCCCACCAATAATTTCAGTCTTTGTTAAACATACAGACATGACAGTGTCCAAAAATGAGTCAATTATCTGCATATTAGTGCAAATTTTCAATTAAGCAATTAAATACGCTAAAATGTATTCATAATATGTTTCCCTCAAATAAAAAATCTTGAACCTGTATCGGCTCAGTGCTGTGAGACCTGCAGTCCCAAGCACGCAATGATCGATCATAGCCTGCGGATACTACCACTGATGCATACTCGTTAAACTTCACAGCATTCACCTAGAAAAAATATTAAATGATGAAGAGGAAATATTAGTAAAGAATTAACAAATACATTGATTTGTCACTTCAAACACAGGCTTGTCTAAGTTATTAATTTTACTACTTTCTTTTGGTTTCATAAACCAAAACTAAAATTAAAATGGGCAAATACTACAAATTTTTTGAAGAATTAAACACCTAACATTAATGAATATCAAAATATAAACAATTTTAATATTAGGATATTTATTAGAAAATTTTAACCATTCACTCATTTTTAATATAATACAAAAACAAATTTACAACATTTATTAAGTAAAAAAGCAAACAATGAAAAACCCAAGTAGTAGAAGTAAAAACCTCGCCATCATGGCCGCGAAACTTGCGAATAACACGACCAGTTGAGACATCCCAAAAGAAAATTTGTCTGTCTCCACCGCAAGAACACAACTTGGAGTTATCTCTACAGAAAAAGAGCAAAACAATCCCACAATAATACTTCAATTGTTAGTAAAATAAAAGTGAAAAACAAAAAGAAAAGGAATTGGCAATAATAATAAGGGAAGAGATGAGTACGGGGTGACGTGAACGTCGCGGACTTCGCGGCCGTGAGCTTTGTAGGTTTTAATGTGGATGCCGCGGTGCGGGTTCCAAAGACGGATGGTTCGATCTTTGCCGCAGCTCAGGCAATAATTGCCGTCGCTGTTGAATCTCGCCGCTAATACAGCACCTTCGTGGCCATTTAGCACATTAGCTTCTTTCCTTGGCAGCTCCTTCACGCTCATATTTCGCAGTTTTCCTTGGGGAAGCGAGGAAGACAGGGAAATTGGGTTTTGTCCAACTGAGGTCTTAAAGTTTCCATTTTGGGTTTGGGCCTCTGAGAGGAGCCCAATCTGGTTACCCACTTGAATTATGTTGGCATTTTTGTCAGGATCGCTGTTAAACTCATCCTTTTTTTTTCTACAGCATTTCTTGGATTGATTTGATCAGCCTTTCATAGGATCACTTATTGCAGCTCTTCTCCATGGAGTTGGTGGCTGACTAAACAACTTACGATTTTGCTTTAAATAGTTTGCTAAGTTCCATGAGCTGATTTCAGACTGATCTCTGCTAACGTTTAAAATGAACCTACCATACAAAAGTCCTTTTGAGTTTCGTCTCTAAATTCTCACATGGCTGTCCCTTTGTGTGTCTCCCACCTGAATCACTTTTGGTCTTCACTTCATGCAAGTTTCTTCACTAGTTGCAGTTACTCAGTTATAGAAACCCATCATCTTCTCCCTTAGTTAATCCTCTGATTAAGACAATTAGATTTCATAATAATGACATTAATCGCATCTTTACATTTAGTCCTTTCCTCTCCCTCTATCTCTCCTATAAATAACCTCCCAGAGTCTCAGTCTCTTCATCCATCACTTTGTTATCTTTTCCCTGTTAACTATTTGCATGCCAAAAAAGAAAAAATCATGGCTGTCAGAAATGTGCTTCTTCTTTTGGTCGTTGTCGGCCTCTTGGCTAGTGTAACTGCAGCAAGGGAACTACCCAGCTACAGCAAGCCAGGCCATACATTTGCGGCAAGGCTTGAGGCTAGTGGAGGCCTTGTTGAGTGCTGGAATGCACTGAATGAGCTGAAGTCATGCACAAATGAGATTGTTCTGTACTTTGTTAATGGCCAAACTGATATTGGCCCTGACTGTTGTCGTGCCATTGAGATTATTACACGTAACTGCTGGCCTGCCATGCTCACTTCCCTTGGTTTCACATCTGAGGAGGGGAACATTCTTAGAGGCTACTGTGATGCATCTTCTGGTCCTGCTGCTGCTACTGCTCCTCTTGCTGGCTCTCCAATTAGTCCAATGGTCGTGGTTTAAAGAAGGCAGCATTCAGGACGTTCAAGTTGATTTTTATTTTCTTTGGTGCTATGGTTTTACCACTAGGTCTTATGGTGTTTGCGGTGTGGTAAAGTTGTTTGAATAAATCGAATTAATAAAAGTTTATTAACTAGCTAATGCTTTTCTCTGTTGATTGAATGATGATAGTCATTGTTTGATCTTATAATATTTCTCAGTGATGGAAGAGTTGTGGTCTCTGATGTTTAAAGAAGTCAACTATTGATTTACCAAGTTTATTCTGCGAAGACTTGTGTATTTTTCTCCTTAGAATTGACAAATTTTTGAGTTCCAATCCATAGGATCATGGTATTTTCAGGGGGAAAACATTAAGAATTGACAGTGGGCAAGTGTTTCAATTGGAGTTAGCTGAAAATTTGATTGCATCATGGCCAGAAAACTGTAGTTTAATCTCAAAATAGGATCTTAGCTCTCTTTTGGTCTGATCTATGGTATAATTAAAGCTTGTTTGAGACATTAGGTTTGAAGTTCAAATTTGATCAATATATACGGGGAGTTAACTCTAACTAAATTTGTAGGCTTGCCACCATTACCGCGATATATTCAGTAATATGCAGTATGATGAATGAACTGAATGAATTGGCAAGAGCAACAGAATGAATGAAAATCAGTGTGCATAATTGAGCTAAATTAATATGGCACATAAACCTGTTTATATACCCCCTTCCCTCAACAGTTAAAAAAACCCCATTTCTTATCCCTTAATCTCCCCACTTACCTTTATAATCAAGTCTCTTTACCTTCATAATTAAGCATCAATTACAATCTAGCAATAGATCTTCTAATAAATGATCAGAATCCTTCTTTTACCTGATCTTCTGCAGTGTCTCTCACTTCTACTAAATACTTCTCTTCCATGGAAAATTCTTTCGGATTCTCCCTTACAGCCTTTTTTTATAACACTGGCCAACAGCATGCAATGGACATGCCATGTCAAGGCCTCTAGATTCCATCCAGACCCTTACAAGTTACAACAGTATACGTCTACAACTAGATAAAGAGATAAAAGTGTTGGGACTCATTGTTTGAGCTTCCATCATGTAACGGCAAGGTCATTTTATTCTTCCTGAATTAATAAGAGACACATCTAAGATCTAATTGCTGAGACGCAAATTGGACCATAGACAATGAGTGATGACCTGCCACAGTTGGAACTCACAAGTAGGTGATGTACACTAATGTGGCTAACTGGCTATTGCTATGTCACTGAATCAGCAGCTTCCACCTAAAAGCCACCACCACCAATACCATTTAACCTTCTAGTTCAATTTTGATTTTACTCGTTATAAATTAAAGATTTCATCACCTTGATTCTTAGTAACTTTATTTTGACTAATGCTAGGGAACTGCTTGATCTGTTTATTTTGCTTGAATGATCAAATAAAATCAAGTGGAAAAATCATAAACATGAATTATGAAACTAGGATTGTGATCAACTTCATTTACGTCTAGAAGAAGTTCCAAGATTTACAAAGTCAAAAACAGATTATCTTCAAGAATTCTAGAAATTTCTTGGAATAAAAACAAAGAGTTAAAACACCCACCACCCAAAAAAAAAAAAATCTTTTTTTTGATTAAAAAACTATTCTTGACATCAAAGAAATGAAAAATGTAACTTCCTAGGTTTATATAGAACCAGATAGAAAGGAAATTCACGGAGTGAAAAGGCGTTTAAATCGGAAAAATATACCATGTCTAGATCCCTTGGTAGTGTCACTATCATCATCATGATCAGACCCTCCATCTTTCTTGATTCCAGTATGGCCTGTTACCATCTCCGGCGCTCCACTCCCCATTGGTGGCCAAATATCCGGAGGATTAGCCGGCGAAATGCACGTTTCTCTTTCACACCAACCCTTCGGTGCCTCAGCAAAACCAGTACCATCACCAACCCTGGACCCGTATCTTGCAACAAGAATCCCATCAAGTCCATGGACAGCAATGTTTGACCCGAGGAAAAGATCCGGGACCGAGACGCGGACCCCATCGACGGTAACGGATAGCAAGAAAGTGCCGTTGTGGGATACCAGAGTATTTTCTACGAAGAGTTGGCGGTTAGGGAGGAGGGTTTCGATGTAGTTCGGGCGCGGGAGGGAAAGGAGGTCTGACATGGAGAGGAAATGTGGTGACGCGTGGAGGAGGAGGGAAAAGGTGTAGAGGCGGGAGGAGGAGAGGAGGTCTAGGGAGAAGAGGAGGGAGTCAGTGGGTGCAAAGAGAGTGAAAGAAGAAGAGTTTTGGGATGATAGGAGGCGAAGGAGGAGATCGGATGTGGTGATGGCGTTGGGGAAGAGGGTGTAACCACTTGACCGGAGGGCGAATAGGGCAGCATCGAGTTCTTGGGAGGTTAAGTCAGCGGTGGTGACGGTGGATGCAGTGAGGACGAGAAGGAGGAGGATGAGGCTTGTTGCTTTGCCGGAAAAGATTTCCATTTGTGGTGCCTGCGATTCTGTTACTTTTGGCGCGTGAGATTTTTGATTTCTTTGCGATGGGAATCTGGGTGATTGGGTGCGGTTATTAATATAGAGATTGTTGTTGTCTTGGATCTTGGGATGGATTTCTGGCCGTTGGATGAGTAAAGTTGGAATCCCATCTTTGCCCTTCGATTGCTAACTTAAAACCTAGCCTATATTCTTGGTTTTTTGGCCAATCTCCTTACGTTACGGACTTAGGTGTTCCGTTTTTCATCATGATTGGAACTAAGGCATTACCAGATTGAAAGAATGGAAAGTTATGACAATAAAAAATTTATTAATTTAATAATATAGTTACAAAATAAAATAATTGTTATGATTTTTAATTATTAGATTAAATTTTTTTATTTTTATATTTTTTCATAATTTTTATTAAAAAAATCTAAATTTTGATATATACATAAAAATTACATCAAATACGCAAAAGTTATTGATGAGATTTTCCTCCCACAATGCATTCAAAGGAATTTTAATTAGTGTGATGATTTATAATATAAATTTCTTAATTAGATTAGGAAAAGATTTATAAAGTGTGTTCAAAAATTGAAATTAAAATTAATTTTTTTAGGGTAATAAAAAAAAGGGGGTAAAAGATATAAAGATCAATTTATAATAATGCTACAAGCTAAAGCCACAATCATTTCCATCAATCTATTTGAGTCTAAGACTGACTTAAATTTATCTATGGCATGTCATGGCATCCAGGTCCATGTATGCAACAGTAACAAGTAGGATTTAGGGAACAAGGTTGTGAGCACGACTTAAGAGATTCACCTGAGGTCTCTTCCCACCTCAATCGATGTCGGCTAGCCTTTCCATCCTGCTTTACTGAACAAGCATATCCAGGCGAGTCTCTCAAAAAATGATCTTTTGCATGGTCTTTAGGCAAGGGTTTTGATAGGGCAAAATCAATCATTTTGGAAATATTGTCATGCTTTATTATCATAGTTGAGGATTTAATATAGAGTAGAAAAATGTCCACACGTTGTCGGGTCATTTTTTTTTAATTTATTATTTTTGTTTATTGAATACTTTTGTAAAATTTATTTAATTAACAAAATAAAAAATGAAAGGCAAAAAAATAACGAAAATTAAATGTGGATATTTTAATTAGTCTTTTTTTTTCATAAAATTTATCCAATAAAAAATAAATACAAAAAAATCAAAAAATCAAAACAAGAGAAAAAAGGGAAAACAAAAAAAAAATTAAGGCCTTATTTTTCACAAAATTTATCCAATAAAAAAATCAAAAAAATTGAGAGAAGTAAAAAAGATGAAAATAAAAAAAATAAAAAAATAAAAAAACAAAAATGAGAAAAAATAGAAAAAAATCAAGAGCCCACAAAGGTTGCCATATTTAAATGTTAATTTCTTAAATTGAAGTATAAGAAATAACTTTACTAATATAATATATGTATATGTATAAAATTAAAAAAATAATAAAAAATATATTTTTATATATAACTTGATGTGAATAAGGACAAGTCATCCTAAATATGCTTTCGACTCAAGCTTATTTTTCTTTAACAAACTCAATCTCACTCGAGCTAATTTTGATTTTAAAAATAATCCTTTATCAAATTAAGATTGATCTGGAATCCGTCATATACATATTAATTTTGTATCTCTATCAATTGATCATACATTTAGTTGCCAAATTTATCTAATTTAAAAAATACAAAAAAAAAGAAGACAATTGAATTGACATGCAATATAGTAATGATTATGGGTTTTTCAAAAAGAAAAAAACTAAAAAAAAGTCAAATTCAGGACGTCAATATTTTCATCAATATCCATTTTAAAAATATTATCAAATTAAAAAAAGAAATAAGAAACAAAGAATATATATTTTTAATAATGATATCAAATGAACCCAACATTAAAAAATTAAAAATATTTATTAAATTAAAAAAGAGAAAAAAGTAAATAAAAAAAGAAAAAGAAATCAAATGATTTGATAAGTAATGTACTTTAGATATCAAGTAAATCCAAAAAAGATAAAATCTAAAAAATTATTTATTACATATATAAATATGAAATATGAAAAAAAATGTTAAAGACTGAAAAAAAAAAAAAAAGGCTTGACATGCCCTTAAAATCAAGTGGATCCAACATAAAAAATATATATATATTTATTAAGTTTTTTTTTTTTTAATTTTGGCATTAAGTAGCCCCACTATAATAATAAAATATTTATTAAACATAAAAAAACATCCATGCAAAAAAAGTCAAAATCAAGGAAAAAAAAGGAAAAAAAAAAGGTTCTACAAACAATAATAAAAAAGTTGGTCCAAAAAATAAAAGTTATGAAGTATGTTAAAAGAAAGTAAAAAAGTAAGGGTAAGAATGGATACCTATAAATGAATATTCAAAACTCCCCAATCAGATTAAGTAGGATTAAAGTATCGTATAATCAGGTTTGGATGATAAAATTGCTACTTGTCATTAGTTTGAAAAGGGTTTGAATAGTGGTATTAGGGTATCCACAACTCAAATTCAATTATAATAATATTTTTTTAATATTATATATACTTTTTATTTATAAATTATTTATTATTAATATTTTTTAATTAAATTAATTCATTAAATATCTTAATTATTATTTTTAATTTTAATTTATTTCTTATGAGTTAATTTTAATATATTAATTTAATTTTTAAGTAATATGTATCAATATTTATTTTAAATTTAAGCTTAAAAGTCAAACATTAACTTAATAAACGAGTATTTAGTGGGTTCGGATAATTGACATATATTTTCTATATTATACGAGTGAAGTTTGGATGGTAAAAATAAAAAATATATATATTTAAATAATTATTGAATTTGAGTATCTTGATAAATAATCGAGTTTGTGTATTGACATCTAAAAAATAGTTGGTACCTTATTCGTTGACATCTAAGTAAAAACCTAAAAAAAAAGATATAAGATGCATGGCACTCATTAAAAAAGGAAAAATAGAAAAAAATAAAAACAAAAAAGATAGCATGAAATGTGATAAATCAAGAGCACGCATACATATATAGGATTTATAATATAGAAATTTTTTTAAATTTTTGTTTAGGATGAGTCTTACAAAAAAATTTAAATCTAAAAAATTATTTATTAAATATATACAAAATAAAAAGAAATAAAAAAGTAAAAAAATATGTGGCATACACTTGATATCAAATAAGTCTTATAAAAAAATCTTAAAAAGTATTTATTCAATTTTTTTAAAAAAGAAAAGGGTAAAAATGAAAAAGTAAAAAAAATTGGTATAAATAGATTTCATATATAAAAAATAAAATCTTTAAAATATATTTTTTTATAAATTCTAAAAATATTTATTAAATATTAAAAAAGTAAAAAAGCAATGACACACAAAAAATAAAATTTGACGCATTTATATATATTAGTTTTTGGCTCGTGCATGATGCATGTATAATATTTATCTCTAAAATTTTATTTTAATAAATAATTTTTTATATTATGATAATAATAATAATAAATACTAATAATTTATTTTAATTTTAGTACAATATAAGTAAAATTTGATAACTTTTGATATAATTTTGATTTTAATAACCTTTAATAAAATTTTGATAACTTTTGAAATAATTTTGGTAACTTATGATATAATTTTGATAACTATTAATACAATTTTGGTAAATTTTTATAAAATTTTAGTAACTTTTTGATGTAATTTTAGTAATTTTTTGATAACTTATGATATATATTTTATAATTATTAATAAAATTTATATCATCATATATTTAACAATGAATTTCTGTAGGAAAGCATGGATTCAGTTATAGTGTAAGATAAATTTCTTTTTATACAATAATATTATTGTTTCATTCAAATTTAGAATTTTTTTCACTAAATTTTTTTATTGAATAAGTTTATGATAGGTGTATCCTAGTTTTTAAAGATAAAATTTCTAACTCTATTTATGCTAGTAACCAAGATTTAATTCTTGATAACTTTAAGTATAAAAAAAATTATCAATGATTAACAATTAAATTATCATTGATTTACTATTATATTATTAGTGATTTACTATTAAACTATTAACGATATATTACTAGATTATCAATAATTTATTACTAAATTAGTAGTTATTTATTACTAAGTTATGATTGATTTATTACTAAATTATTGATAATTTACTACTAAGTTACTAATGATTTGTTATAAAGTTATAACTAATTTACTATTAATTTATCGATGATTTACTATAAAATTATCAATAATTAACTAATTTGCTACTAATCACTTACTTATTTATTACTAAATTATTAATGATTTATTACTAAGTTATCAATAATTTACATCTAAATTATCAATAATTTATTATTATGTTATTATACATTTACTATTATGTTATTATTGATTTACTACTTAGTTTTTAATTATTTACTACAAAATCATCATAGATTTACTAAAAATTAACCATTAATTAATTATTAAATTACCATTGATATATAAAAAATTATTCATGATTTACTATTAAGTTATCATTGATTTATATTAAATTATCTATGATTTATTATTAAGTTATCATTGATTAACTATTAAATTACTGATGATTAACTACTACTAAATTATATTTATTTACTTTCAAGTTTTCAATGTTTAACTATTAAATTATTATTGATTTACTATTACGTTATTTGTGATTCACTACTAAATTTATCAAGTAATTACTATTAAATTGAAATTAATTTACTATTAAGTTGTCAATAATTTACTATTAAGATATCATCGATTTCTTATTAAATTATCAATTATTAACTACTAAGTTGTCACTTATTTTTTATTAACCTATCATTAATTTACTATTATATTGCTATATATTTATAATTATGAAACATGAAATTTAAAGTCTACTAATAATATATGAGATAATTTTCTTTTTATATAATAACAATACTGTTTTATTCAAGTTTATAATTCTTCATTACTTTTTTATTGAATAAGTTTATGGTAAGTTTATCCTTATCTTTAAATTGAAAGTTTGACTTCATTTCTACTAAAACCTAACGTTCAATTCTTGACAATGTTAAATATAATAAAAATGATCAATGATTGACAATTAAGTATAAGTTGTTTACTATTACGCTTGCAATGATATACTATTAATTTATGAATGATTTGCTACTAATTTATGAAGGACTTGCTGTTA